GTAGTTGCGTTACGTCGTTCAAGGAGTAGAATGAATTTCTCCCTCTTGCAGAATTTGCGCTGAACAACTCCACGCATGTCTCGACAGGTCATTCGCCACTTTATGTGAACTATGTCATTCATCCTGGATGCCCTACTTCCATAATGGGCGAGGTTTCTACCTGAAGTGGGGGGCTGTGGCTGTAGAGCCACAGTCTGACCTTAATGCTGTCACAGAGGTAAACGCGAATTTTGACTCAATGAGATCTCTAGACGACATGACAAGTCGTGAGAAACATCATGAACCTGTTGAGACTGTGGTTTAATACGGGACTCCAAAGGCGAGCATTGGGCGGAACCATCAGTCAGAACGTCGACTGTAGAGTTCTGCTCTGCAACTAGGTTCGAAAGGCTCTCGCAGCGATCTTCAAGCGTCGAGCAGCGCTGCTACAATGCATCTTCTTGTCCGCGATGATCGATCTTCCACCTCCAGAGTCGCTCAATCGTTTTCACGTTCAGCCTCACCTCCGCTATTAGACTCTCGTGGAAAGCATCGTTGGGTGGTTGAGATAATTGTCGATTATGAGGATCAATTAAATCGTCATCGTGGAAGGCAGCAGCTGAACCATCAACACTTCAACAGAGTTTGGTGGCACGGCTATCCATTGAGCTCGGACACGTGGGAACCTCGTCAGTCCTTAAAGTTTGATGTCCCTACGTGATTCGCAGCTAAGAGAATCGCTTGAAGTGCTGTTAGCGGCAACAGTACGACGACCAAATCTTGGTAGTGCTCGGTCCTAACTGGGAGTCCTGCCAGCGCCGACTTGGGGAAGCAGACGCTTTATTTTCTTTTCGTTCTCAAGGCGAACAAATGGCCGCCAGGAGTCAAGCTTAGCTGTGATGGGCTAAGTCGAATCATCACGGTTGTTGATACGGCACCAACGAAAGAAGCATTTCATATATAACATCTTGCCACCATTTTGGTTAGGAATGGAGGAAACGTCGAATAGTTCTGGAACATATCTTTGGCGTTTGGGCGAAGAATGCTCTTTCATGTTGGCTTTTTTACTTGATCTCTTCATTGTTGATCGGAAAGTGAGCTGCTTGAAAAAGTCTTCAAAAGTATCAAAGTACTTTCGACTTTAAGGAGGGGATGATGTAATAGGCTACTTTTTAGCCATTACAAAAAGGTACATTTAAATACCTTCTGTATGCATTGTAGGGATTAATAATAGAAGATTACAGTATGGTAATTCCAAAAGCATACGTGATTTCTTATAAGACGTCACATACATTTTGTGTGATTCAAAATGCTAGTTTCAACTTGAGGATCTGTACTGGGAACGAGACCGGCGTCTCGCTGTCTTTAGAAGTAGGTGGTGAAAGCCAGTCACTTCAACTGGATACTTTTCACCGAAGTTAAAGCTCAAGCTTTCCGAATGGGTAACGTAAGCCAGTCCCTTCTACTGGATACCTTCCACGAAAATAGAAGTTCAAGCTCTTGAAATTCAAGCTAAGTACGCCCAAGATATTGCTTTGTTGAAGCTGAGGTCCAACCTCAGTACACCCTTGATTATAAATCAGGAACCCAAGTTTTCTAAAAAAATCTCTCTATGAGCTCGTGTGGTATTTTGCATGTAGCTTGGAACCATAACCCGTTTTAAACTCAAATGCAAATTTTCCTGTTAAGGTATTAAGTTGTTCTTTTTCCCTCCACGTTGGGTTTCGCTTCTCGTCGCTCTAGCCCGTGTATTGTATTTAAGGGACTCCTTACGAATAGCACTCCACCTTGGGTTTGCTTAACGCTGGAGCCGACGCATTTACATCGCACCCATCTACTGATTCTACCTCTGCCACCAATACCATTACTAATGGGCTGGGCAGCTAAATGCATTTATGGTTGCAGCCACGTCAAATTGACGCATCTGAGTTAATCAAAAACTCTGTAGCACGTCTGGAAGCGCTAAAGCGCGTGATTTGATATCGCAGCTGCTGACAACGTGACGAACGTCTGAGTGCGCTTACTGTTGCCGCCCCTGGTGCATTCGATGTCTCTGGAGCAAAATGGTAAGACCATTGTTTCGATATCTGACTACAATCTTTCTTGAAACAATATTCAGACCGGATGTAGCACATATTATGTTGAAAAGTATGGTGCGAAATCGTTTCTGTGCCCAGATGCTGCTCAACAACCAAGAACAGTGCTACGGCTGCCTATTTTGAACACCGGTATTCGAATGACACGGCAATCTCTATCTCATTCCAGGCTGCGTAATATCTGCTACTGTGTTGATGAAATATTGGAGCGTCTTCTCTCAAACCATGCAAATGCTGGAGCTGACTTATCTACGTCGTGACCGTTTATTGGTGCTCAATCTGCCATTGCTAGCATGCTGGCTCTATTATAGGTACATGGAATTACATACTCATCATTAAGCTGACTAATTGACACCCGATTTTCGAGGTGCTTCATCGTATTTATGGCTTACCCACAAATTCGACTGCGTTTCCGTGTCAATCAGGGTACTCCAGCTATTGTTATTGGTAGCTTTTAAAGAGTGACGCTAACAGGCACAGCACTTTCGACTGGTAATGTATGTCCCGCGATGGGCTTCTGCGGTCAGTCCGAACCCTGTGCATTGTGCAATTTATGGAGTTTGGCCATTCTATGGGGTGCTGTTGTTACTACGCTTGAATCCGAAATTGATAGAAACTACATGCCATTCACTACGTATCATCTATACTTTCATTTCGTTCATTTGGTGAACCCCCAGGCTATCATCTCTAAACCGATAAAAAATGTCTGCTTCAAGGACTTGATGCCGAACTACTTTGCCAGCGGGCCGATATCGATAAGCGATCGACTCAGCTTTGATATACAACCATCTGCATCTGTTTAGAAAGCTAAATACATCATTCTTCTTCCATTCGCTGGGCAGACCGGTGATTTTGCTTCTGTACAGCAATTTTAGAGTTCTTTCGACTAGATACCATAGACGCTCCTCCCCGGTTGCTCTATTGAAAACTTTAATGTTCGTATCGGCTCTGCAATAATGCTTTGATTATAGCCATGAATATGACTTTCACCGGTTTGCAAATGTAGGTTCAAAACTGTTTCGGTTGTTGGTAATCTGGCCTCTGAGTTGGTGCATAAACCCTTGACTAGCAGACGTGTTGCTAACGAACCCTGTTTCTAGTTGCTGGTGTAAGTCGTCTAACATAACGTGAGGCCATTACGATCCAAGGTGTCATTGCGGGTTGCCAGGAAGCAAGCCGGATTGTATTGGTTGTGATCGAACGAGAGATGGCATTCGATCGCTTGACCAGGGAAAATGTAAGATTTTGTCGCAACTTCGTTTGAAAATGCTGTTTTAATCGTATACTTAAACCAGTGATCAGCTAACCAGTTTTGAAGCTGTAACATGGCGTAATTTTCCTGCCGTAGGATTTGAGGTATCGCATTCACATTCAACAGGGGCATTGCAACACGCTTTCAAAGCTTGTATGAGCTCGTAACCGGCTTTTTCACATGTATCATTTCTTTCTGCATTAAATGCAATGTCATATTGATGTTGTTCGGATTGTTCATGTCGAGCTTTGTGTTCCACGTTTGTGTGTTTTTCACCGCAAAGAACCTCTCAATCTTTTAATTGTGAGATCTTATTATAATCTTTGTCATACTCAGTTTATCCGCTTGTTCCGACTTCCAAGCGGCCTTTTTATTCACACAATTAGTGACTTGCTCTTTTATTAAAAGAATATCAAAGTCATCAATACTATGTCTAAGGAAATGATGATAAATCATTGCAGCACGTCTAACTCTACCTTCACGCCACCGCTTAGAATTTCGCTCATGATAATCGAACTGCTTCGACTATATCGTGGAACTTTAAATATTGCTTAGTAGCTTAGGACATTTCATGTGGTTCTAAAAAGCCAATTGACATAATTCAAATATTGCGACCAACTTGCTTCGGCGTCTTCTCCCCTCCAATCAGTGCTAAAACCTGGAGTGAAGGAAATTATTTTACTTAAGTGTCAATGAGACTAGTTGATTGTGCTTCCTTCGACATACCCGGGGTCAGAAGCATATACTTCTTCGATCGGCCTGACCTTGTATTTTCGGGAAGTTAATTCTTTCGAGTTATTAGTTATGTGTATCTTTATCCATAGGGTCTTAAATATGTATAGAGGAAATTTTAGAATTCAGACGAACCAACGGTTGATAGATATCAGTGGTCGAGCGGTTCTGAATCTACCCTTAGATCCAAAAAGCGTTGCATTCGATCGCGTCGTGCTGGCCAGAAAGAAGATATCAGGAATGTTTCCAGTGGTAAACTACGGTAAGGAAAAAACTGCCGGCGTAATGTTCTATGACCTACTACTTCTCCGACAGTTCAAATCATTGTTTCCTGCCCTTCTTTTAGCAAATATCTATGTAGACGATCTTCGGGCCTTCCGTCCTCTAAAAACGTGATGCTTGCTTACGTGTGCTCCGTTATTTATCTCCCTTTCACGAGTCAGTTTCTTTGCAAATTGAGTGCTGCGTCAGACACAGTGAGGAGAAAGTTGCATAAGATTGTGCTCTGCCGTTATGCCTTCGTTTTAAAAAGTCTGCGACTGTTACCCCAAACCTCGCGACTATCCCTCGTTGTGAGCATCGTACCTTTTGGAGCTAACCCCTACACTTAACAAAAGCCAGTCTCATTGAAATTTTTACTTTCAAAATATTATTCTATAGCTTTCTTATCTTAGCAAATTATGCTGAGTATGTTACTCTTTACAGCAGTTGTATAGTGCAGTCCTTATCAATTTACTCATGACTTTACCGAGAAAAGGTCCGTTATTGGTTCAACCTTTACAAAGTTTAGTGTGATTCGCATGTTTGCTGGTTGATACCTTGGAAAAATATGTAACGCCGATTGTTTGATGTATGCCACATGGCATAGAGTTAGCGTAAAGTCCTGCCTCTGGCGATATTCGGGCTTGATACATTGCTTTCGTCGATCACTTGTGACCACGATGGCATTCCGCCGTGACCCAACTGGCGCGGAAGAGGAGGAATCTTTCTCATCCACATCCACAATGGACTCGGATTATGAAATTCCTGTGGCTTTGCAAATGCTCAATGTGTGGAACAATGAGCGTGTGTCCATCAAGGTCTCACAAGCGCTTAGCACCATGAATACTATCCGCGAAAGCGAGTCCATGCGCTTTAGTATGGTCACGGCAAACAAGTGGAAAAAGATGGGCTATCACCCATACAAGCCTGACGCTTCAGGATACACAGCGTTGCATCGTGCTGCCAAGCGTGGAGATGAAATTGTCGTGACTTCACTACTTGCCATGTACGATGGAAAAGCTATTGACCTTGTCTCTATCAAGTCTTATAAACAAGAGCAAATTGCATTGCACATTGCGGCCAAGTACGGAAACCTTGAGGCCACACGACTCTTGGCCGCACCTGAATTTCGAACACTTATTAATATGCCAGATCGTAATGGCAATACACCACTACACTTTGCTGTTACAAGCTCAAAACCATCTGCGTGTGAAATAGTGGCGTTACTACTCCAGCGAGGTGCAGATCCAACACTTAAAAGCAAGCGAAATGTCTTTCCTATCATTGCACACGTGCTAACGGTACAAGACGACGATCCGGAAATTGTGCAAGTACTTACAAAGAATGGTTGTGATCCTAATACGACCGACACAGCTGGCAACACTGTGCTGCATATTGCTGTGTCACAGGGACTATGGAAGATTGCCGCAGCGCTTGTCAAAGACCAAGCAAGTTTAACAATACGCAACAATCAAGGCATGATGGTTCTGGACATTTTGTCACCGCCACAATTGGCGTGGCTGGCCAAGTTCTTTGTACACCCGCCGGAATGGGTATCCTATGAAACACAACGCTCATGCATGGTTTGCTCGCGGAAGTTTAGTTTTCTTGTTCGACGTCACCATTGCCGACTATGCGGACGTATATGCTGTGGTCCGTGTTCTAAATACAAGCGTCGGCTTCCTTTTACAGATTTGTCCGTAAAACTACCAAGTAAAGGACGTCACGCAATGGTGAAGGTTTGCAGTACCTGCATTGATGTGCGTGAAGCCGCAAGCGAGGATTTATCGTGGGCAAGTACAACTGCAGACCGATTGATTGCAAGTGACGCTATGATCGACTATGACGATACCTATTAGCGAAGAATGACGTGTAAGATATCTGAGTTAACATATTTGCGCTTCAAAATGGTGTGTGCGTCAGGGTCGCTTAACCTTGTAAAGGCTCTAACCTTTATGAGGTACTTATTGTTTATTCCTGAGATGTGTATCAGATCTCTTTTGTAACTTGAAACTACCTGTCAGTGATGCTATAATTTGGTTGCCAACATGATAGCACGATCTCCACGACAGAAAAAACGATTTTCGGCATTACGAACTTCACCCATAAACATATAAGTACCACAGACTTGACAGAGCCATTTTAGCAACCCATGATAAATTGGCCGTTTATTCATTCAGGTCTCCTTTAAATTGTCTGTAACAGCATTTTTGGAAAAGTTTAAGCTTGGTAAGCGCCGTGCGTAGGAAGCATCATGGGTCCTCCTTCTTTCATGCTGTTCGCATTCATATCACATTTGATAAGTCGGGAGGTGCATATTTAGACACTAGGCAGCAACATACCTCTTAAAGTAATAGTAGAGGAAATCCGCCATCATCAGCATGTGGCCAATCTGAACTAGAATAACTGTATAGCCAACGTGCTGACCCGCGTCTTTTTCGCCGAGCTCATGGTACGAAGAGAACCAGAATACCAGATGCAAAAAGCTACCAAACGCCAGAGCATACACGAAGTGTGAAATGCACGAATCCACTGCACCACCTCCCTGCACAACCAGCACCATGCTAAGGGTAAGATACCTAGCATGCCCATTAGAAGAGTGGTGTATAAAAATACGTACGCGTTTCTGGAACATAAACAGTTGAGGCAGGATGGCAAAGGCCTCAATGTACAGCGCGATTGTCCATGACACGTCCGATAACCAGTTACGATTTAGATTGGGGTGGATCAGCTAGAGGATAGAGACAGAATTTCCTTGTTAAGATATCGTGTACTGCCGTAGCAAGCACATTGGCCGCACGCACCATGCCAATTAAAATACAGGGCAGCAATATGTAGAGTGCGCCGAGCTCCGTAGGCACATGAAGCCAACCAAACGTATCGTAGCGCAACTCGTAGCTTGAATTGAAGCGGGTAGTAACAAGATAGATGACACCACAGCAGAGCATGAGCGCCATGATCTCCAAGAAGGAGTAAAGCCAGTCACCACTGCGGTCATATGGCAGGTATCCTTGGTAGCGTAGGATAGAGCTCAGACGGAAGAGAAACACAAATGCATACAGCTCCAAAGTCTTTAGTGATAGACCAGCAACCGATCGCTGCGAAAAAGCTTTAAAGATCAAAAACACGAAGCCAAAGGCGCGGACAAATGACCCCATCGTCTGCATTGCATCAAGTTGACATACGTCAAGCGTTAAAATAGTGTGCAGGAAAAAGTTGTATATCAAAGTTCGAATAGTCAGTACCATGAGAAAGGAAAAGTCGCCATCGCTAAACAAGTGGTAGCAGAAAAACACAACCACCAGAAAACCTGACCAAAGAGCAATGTTACTCTTGTGCTTCGTTAGGAAGGCACTACGGTTGGCAAAACAATGAGTGTGAGGCCAAATCAAAATCAGTGACACAACAAGAAAGATAGATGCGTACGCGCTACGTGACTTGTCTTTACTGCTCAGATCCATCATTTTCGTCTCGAGGGATTAAGTACGTCTGAGAAAACTACGATTATGGATTAAGGCCTACGCGGCACCTTGTCGAAGATTTCTGGTCAATTTTGATTCTGACCCAAGATTGGCCAAAACTATTTATTACGTATGTGGGCACGAATGTTAGAAATAGAAATGGAAACGCATTTTTAGTCAAAAGTTTTATTGTGCTACGATTTAAGACGAAATATTTCATGCATCAGATAATTATCGGATCCTTCAGCTTCTACATGTAATCTACAAACACTGATCCGGTAGGAAGCAGATTCAGTTAGAGCTAATAACTGTAAATCATTAGGGCTCCGTGTTATCAATGGGAAATTTATGCTAAATATACAATGAGTGCTCAGATTGAGTAGGAGAGATGATAATAGATGGTCATCATATTCGATAGAATCAAGGTAAATCAATTCCTCTTTGCGCTCAAAAAACTATATAAACAACATAATGTAATTGACTATTGTAATGTCGAAATGCTGATTCTTCTGGAGGTGTTAGACTGCAGAACGCTAGTCGGCACCTCCCAAAGTGCCCAGCGCTTCTAGCCGTCCCAAGAGACTTTAGCGTCAGGCTGATGGACCCGACATCCACAAGAGGGGCCTAATATCGCCATCGTACGCTAGTACGGAAGACTCAGACGTCGCATCGATGAAGCAACGTGAGCGGCAATTATGGCAATCTATACAACTCAATGATGGAAATAGTCGAAAAAAAGAAATGAGACCGCATGTTGTACAGATCACAATATCGGTGAATGACTGGCTGGAAATAAATGGTGAAAATGATTGGCTAGACTTGCTTGGTAATTTTAACAAGTAATTCCGGTGCCGATGCTAAATTCGAACAAGTTACACTAATTATGCAACAATATTTCAAAATGGAAATTATAAAGATTTCAAGGTAATTTTGAGCAGACCACATATCACTTAACAACGGTAATACTGGGAGGCGGTAATGTGTCTCGCTGGCTTTCACATCGCCTATAAAGACATTATGGTATGAAGACTTAAGAATACACCAGACAAAACCCATCTCAGTCGTGAGCTTTCATGACAGAAAAAAAACTCATAGGAAAAAAAAATCAGGATCTTGCACACGTGTGTCTGCCTGTAATTTCTTTAGACATTGCATGATATCATCCTCACAACTTAACGTACTATCTCCGAAATTCATTTATATTGAGAATGAGTAGAGAGCATCAATTGCAACTATCCAACTGATTGATTGACAGATTCGAACGCGGATATACGATATTCTTCAGGTAAGTACAGTCCCTAATATAATATATGCAAGAACAAAATTTTGAACTATGTATTTGAGCGCACAGCTAGAATATGATACATTGCTCAGTAACAGTAGAGCTGTTTCGTCTGAAAGTTTGGGAGATCCTTGTCAGATGGCATAAGTAAAAAGTATTTTACTGCTGATAAACTAATAATATTTTATACATGTATCTATCTATCGACTTTACTCTTCAATGATCATTTTGTGCTTCCAGACTACTGTGTGAGAGAGACAATGGAATTTAAGTGGAAGACGAGCGTGGAATTGGAGTCGGCAGGTATGAAGCGGCAGAGATTATTACGTGGACACAGGTTGCAGGTGGTGGTGGAGTGGGTAGCGGGTTATGACAGAAGTTGTCGGGTGTAAAGGAAGACGAAGTACTAGGACGACGTGTGAGGTACATTCCACTCCGTGATCACTTTCCCCGCTAACACCACTGGCCACCTCTTTCGCTGGCCGCGTAGTGCTCGTTGCAGTGTCGCAGACGTCCATTACCCGCTCTATCTATGCTGTGTGCTGAATGTTCCGCCACTGCATCACGACTACCTTACATGGGTCCGAACGTGAAGAACGATATGGTTGTAGCCCATCTCTGACAGTTGCCAAAATACATGAGTTGTCTACCCTACGAAGATTTTTAGACTTAGATGTTCCTACACTTATCATACCTCGATGAAAGCAGAAACTGCGCTTTGTCCGTAGTTGGATACAATTTACAACATTTGATTTTCTCACATACGCTGAGCAATATTTTGTCCATCGTCACTTTGTTGGACCCCTTGTCAACAAATAATCGTTGACATAGCCCTACAGCTAGTTGTAGGAAGCAGTGCTCATCTTCGTACAATGATGGTCTCGCCCAAAACTAGAGTAAACCACGAACCACATTACACCCCGATCGCCTACAAGACAGTATGAATGACGACTCAGAATAGTCTTTTGGCAAATAAAGCTGAGATGCGAACAAGCGGCTGCTACCTGTCAATCGTCGATCGATGGGTAAAACTGCTTTACAATGACACTCAAACGACGAATGACGCATTTTTGATCTTCGTCGCAAACAATTTTTGATTGGTATAACGACCCGAAGTTTACATTTGTAGAAGGAAGAACATACATATACCATGATTCTTCGCGAGTATCTTGTA